AACAGAGGGGTGAAGACCCGCCGACCGTCAGATTTTTGAGAGGCTTTAGAACAAGGAAGCGTCTACCGCGCTGCCCCAATGCACGTTGGCTAACTTTACGTCTTCGAAATATTTTTTAAATTCCCAGATACACAGTTTTCCTCACTTGGCTAATATGCTATAATGGTATGCATAACCTACATTAGTTGCTAAGTCCATTAATGCATTTCTTTCTCGGCGGCCATTGTAACGCAAGTCCCTAACGCGTCGGCGCGTTATGTTGTCGCAATAGCGTAGCGGTTTTCCCATGCCTTTATACCGTTTTATTGTTGTGCATTTCTTTTGTTTTACTTGAAGGTCGCCAGTGTGCGCGATCGCGTTTCTTGTGTGTAAACAAATCGCTGGAAAGGACTCGCTTCTGTCGCTGCTTGCAATTTGTTACGGACTATTAAATTGTGTGTAAAAATTTAATGATAATTGTATATTTATTTATTTACGGTTTTTTTTTTAATAGGATTTGTGTTTCTTTCAAATTGGATGGGATGGTGAAACTGTAGGAGCTGTTTAAACTATTAAATTTTTTACGTGTATTGTATTTATTTTAAAAAAATCAATATTTTGTGTTAAATACAAAATGATACCTATATATTTTCTTTCGATTATTGTACATATTATATAATATATACCAGAGGTTCCTAAAGTGGGTTCCTCGGAACCTAAGGGTTCGGTGGAAAAGTCACCAGGGTTCCGCGAAATCATTTATTTTTGCTTTTCAATAATTCCACAGTTAATTACAAATATCATTTCGTAGTAGTCCAAAATATGTGATGAGATTTACCCAATTACTGTTATATAGGTAGTTAGCGATCATACGGGACTATACCTACCGCGACGCAATATCAGCAATTTTATTTTTAAAATATTTCACTTTAGATAGATTTAGATAAAAGTTTTACTTTTAAAAATATTTCTAATAAAAGTTTTAATTTTTATGTAAATTTCACTGTCTTTGGTTTGTAATCATTTGATATGGTGTTCCATAAAATGTATAAGGGATTTGGTGAGTGTGCCATTATTTCAAAAGTTTAGTAGGTAGGTACTATACATTTTTTTTTTATTATTTCATCGTTTATTTTTTATTCTTAGGGATGGAATTTTTATACAAAACGTTTATGTGACCGGGTCTGAATTGGAACATATTTAAAAAAAATAAAGGATTATTAAACTAGCTTTACAAGTACCGAAGGTATTGCGTAACATTTCAAAAATACCTCTTCTTTGAAGTCGACTAAATAATACAATAAAGCTTTAGCATGTATGTGACGAAATGAAAGATAACAGCATAATATCATTAAGATATTATAGATTATAAGATGAGTAGGACACTTATATTTCATCTAGGAATCCGTCTGGGTTAAAGTTGATTGCTGGTGTTCATCGGCTGCAGTCGCCACTTACCATCTCATCCACTTTCCATTATGGATCGTTAGTTCATTTGTAACTTCGTTTTTATAAAAAAAAAAAACATGCGTGAGTGTCATGGAACACTCGGTTGGAACGAAATTCCTTTCGAAGTATATTATTATTATTGATAAACATATTATATTATTAATTAACAAATACATGTAAATGAATTACTAGCGTCTATTAAAATGAAACGTTGCGAGGGAGATGGATGTTATTCCATCTCGCTTCCGTATAGGCGTCAAGGCCGACACTACGTCAGAAGGGTCGTGACGGCAAAAACTTACACTTTTTCTCGCCTAACCCCCAACCGCCAAATTCGTACTGTCCGATAAGGAACTTTCCAAAAATACAATGATGATGATGAAGATGGTATAAGAAAATTGGGATATCGGATCTATTTTCGAACAACTACCTAATACTATATCATGGTGTAAAATTGTAAAAATTACTAAAATTGTAAAAATAAATAAATTAGTTTTAATTCTGATATTTCCAAAGAATACGGATAACATAAATTCTTACATTTTCTTGAATATTAGTCGCTGGCGCATACTCCTTATAAAGCCCTGGATATTATCTTAGGCTACGTTTTTAACATTTCAAATAATCACACAGTGAACTCGCTCTTTAATCGTAACCCGGGTACAAGATGCGTGCTCGTGTTACCCGTGTTGCGTAACCCTGGTCACCGTCCGGTGACGATGATGCACCGAACCCGGGCATTTCGGAGCTATTGCACAACTGTTATTATCATTACATGGTGACGCCATAGCAAACAACAACCTGGACCACACTATGGTGTACATCACTAATGAACCTTATCATAACGGGTTTTTAAGTTGAAAATGCCGTAGCATCTTGATGTTTCTGCAGTCGTGCAACTCATGTTAGTAGACATTAAGTTAATGACAGTAAGAACGAACACGCGAACAACTAACTCTCTTTTTTTAAATCCTTGACTACCATATTTAACCCATATCTATAATATCAATGTTTAAAAATAAAGCTAAAGGTTATTTACATTTCATATTATTTATTCTTCGACAGGGTTCTTTATTCTTTACTTCTTTATTCTTTTTTTTTTCTATTATATTAATTCTAGCCTATCCACGGTTTTATCGCACAAACGCATAGTTAATAGCATCCGATTTTTACAGAAATTGTCGCCAAAGAACAAATATGCATAAAAGACGAAGTATTTTCCAAATTATGCACAAGTTACAACGCCACACTAGTATCGATATTCGATATCGATACCTTTTAACGAGCACCCCTAAAAGATGCAAAGCAACATGTTTTAATCCTGTTCGAAATTCGAAACTGGCGTTTTACCGCAATCAGGTTGTTGAATATGGCCACCATGTTTTTGTATGAAAGCCGGTCTCGATGTGCGGCACAATACATATCCCAATTGTAAAACGTGTTCCATTCAAGGTGAGAAACCTATTTATATATTAAGTGTTGAGAGTTTTTGTTTACTCAGTCGATGTATTAATGTCGTTAAGAATAACGCCCTTCAAATTTATTTATAACCTATATATGTAAGAATATCCACTACCCCATAATATTACTATCCCGTGGGTGTCGTATCAGGCGACAGAGGGAAACAAATCAGGAGATGGGCAGCAGAGTCTTTCTAATAACGACTCAAAATAAAAAAAAATCTATTTTTAAAAACCCGCGTGAAAGAACATAACGGGAAGTCTGCAGTGTGTGAACATGTTCATGATCGTCCCTGCCATTATATCAGATTTGATAGACCACAAATCCTCGCAAACACCGATTCCTACCAAGTATGATTCGCGAGGCTATTGAAATTAAAAAATATCCTAATTTCAATAGAAAAGATAGATGGTTGCTGTGCTGCCATCTGCTTGAGATCCTATAATTAATAAAATTAAATCCAAACAACTTCAAGACTTCAAGATACTGTAAGCACATTCTGCATAGATCGGAGCAAAAATTAATATTCAAAACCTGAAGGTAGCCGAGCTAACTATCACATCGGGACGTCAAACACCTCAGTAACCCGTGACAATGAGTACTGTAAAGCACCCGAAACGTCGGTAATTAAAAAGTTAGTAAAACGCAATAGAATCCGTATAATTTTGTTTCATATAATGTGTAGTCTTCGAGTAAATATAAGAAATCATTATAAGAATTATATTATTATTTATATAAAAACCCTCTCAGAAATGAGAGGAGGCCTGTGCCCAGCAGTGGGACGTAAATGAGCTGCAACTTTAACTTTATATAAACAGCAAAAAAACATATATACAGAAACAACGCTAGTTCAAGCGAATCTTCTTTTTACGTCCGGTTAAACATTTTTGTTGCTAGGCCAGCAAGATCTTTAAATGGTACACTGGCTGTATATGGTAAAACTTGTATACTTCAGTATGGAAAAGACTTTCTGAGATGAATTTTTACAGTATTCGGTGTTTCGGTCGTGTGTGAGCAAATTCGTACACCGAAAACACCTTATTTTGGACTTGCTTTGCATACCTGTTGAAAGATATTTTTTTAATCATGAGTAATTTCTTGCGAGTGAAATGTGCTATAATTTTAAACGAAAGTGAAAAGCCACATTAATTATACGTGGTAGAGTCATGTCATGCAGCTATATTTCTGGTATACTAGTTGTAGCACAAATGGGTCGGCCAGACCGGGGAAGGACCACGCTCTCGCAGAATACCAGCGTAAAATTGCAGCTTAATGCTGCTGTGTTTCGTATGGCGAGTGTAGAGAACCGGAGACCCTTTTTATTGGAAACGAGACCTTAGTTCTCACGGGTGACAACGCATCTGCATTTTGATTCGTAATCCAGGATAGATGTAGATGTCTATGGACCACAGCAACCACTTACCATCAGGTGGACTGTGTGCTCGTTTGTCACCCTTATCCTATAAAAAATACCTTATTTTAAATAAAAGCTTCGTAAATCTTTATCTATAAATATTACGTGTCACATTGTTTGTCCGCTATAAACTCCTAAACTACTGAACTGTTTTCAATGAAATTTTGCACACCGTGTGCAGTTTGGACCAACTTGACAAATGGGATAGTTTTATGCTGATAAGTGACCCTCAATATTTTAATTGCGAATTTAAAGATTTTTTATAGGACAAAGAGTCGTCGCAAAAATCGTCTGCCTGGCAAGCTAGTTATATATAACATATAAAAAATTGGGGTTTTTTGTACTGTAAGTAGACACATTATTCGTTTACTAACTATTGTTGTTTTTTCTATTGTTTCAGGCTCATTTGCCATCGGAAACTCCGATCGAGTTACAACAGAAGAAACCTTAGGAGTCCGTGACTAACTTTGAAAAGCATATCGATCTATACCGACGCAAGCGTCACCTACGATACCAATGTACTAGGAAGCATTAGTAAGGGGTATGCAGAGAGAAATATAGGGACTGGGTGGCTTACACTAACTTGTGTGATGTGCCGGCAACATCACATGGAAGTGCAATTGGAGGTCACCTGATTGGTCCCTTGGTCCTCTGAACACCGGATCGGTCGGCTGCTGCGGCTGGATGCGGCGGAAGGATGAAGTTCTCAACGGGCTCGAGTTCGAGCAGTCTCGCCAGCGATTCGCTGTCGAGAAAGTCTACTTTATGCATTTATACAGAAGTCGATGCAACAATGCCGCCTCCGCCTTGCGAGAGGGTAGGTTTTAAACAAATTTAATCTTACACAAACTTTTATAAACCTAAGTAATTTATAGGCATTTCATACTCTGGTTTTCAGTCCGATGAAGCTATAAGAGCCGCATAGGCTACCAGCATTAACATCACATAATCACGAATAAATAATAGTACTACGTACAGCAGTTGCACTCCTTTGATGTTGACTGCTTGCCGACTTTTTAATAGCCTACATAGTTATTATTAATCAGATAAATGTCGCACGCAAGCTAAATAAAATTTTATCGCTGCGCGCGAGTGTCCGTATTACTTTGCATCTTTTCCCCTTCGTATGTTACCACGGACTTTCCGTGGTTACTAAGGCCTGTTAATAAAAAGTAAAAAATACATTGTGAAATGGTAAGTTACTTAGGTAAAGTACCTATGCTGACTAAAATCGACCATATTTCCGCTACTATGTGAGTTCTATGATGCCCTTGCAAGTAGGGTTGCCATCTCTTAAAATGAAAAAGCCGGACTTTTGGCCCTAAAAGCCGGACAGTAATTTTTAGAAAGCCAAACATACAGTCTTGCAACCAAAAAACTCACCAACTCCAACTCAACAACCAACCAAGCGATGCGTGCAACGCGTTACACTAACAAAATGTCTAACAATATCCGGACAAGCCGGACACATAAAAATTTGGCCGGACACAACCCGAAAAAGCCAAACATGTCCGGCTAAAGCCTGACATGTTTTCGGAAGATGGCAACCCTACTTGCAAGGTCATTCGTCTGCAATCGCGATGCTTGGTTCATATAGGTAGATAGCGTGAACAACAAATAAACCCGAAATACGATTCCTAACAGAAATATGATCGTAATCTACTTAGGTAAAAATCTTGTAAACAAAGTTTTAATTTCAATATTTTGTGCTATTATAACTTAAAATATTTTAATTACAAAGACAAGTATAGGTATGTAAGTAGGTACTTGGGTAATGAAGTAAATTTCAACTAAGTTTTGTAATAAAGAAATTGGTATTACTTCTGTAGTTAAATTATTACTTAATTCTTTATTCGTTATAAGTTCTTTTAATTTAACTATTATTTATTCTGTACTGTAACTACCTATCTAACAAAAAAAATGAAATAAATCTACCTTTCATTATCCAACTATTTTATCCTACAATTAAATATACTAAACACTAAACAAAAACTATTTCGACGAGTATTTCAACAAGTATTTACAAAAAACTATTTACGTAAACAATGTTAAAAAAACTAACATTCAATCGCCTACAACGCGCTAGCCCCGACTGCGATCTACCCCTGGGGCGTCACGCGATTGTAGATAATTATTTCAAGCATTAATCTATACTCATTCTCTGGTAATAATTGACTAATAGCTCAGCAAACAACGGTCTAAAATGTCGTAGACTTAGATTTATCCTGATAATAAAGCACGTTTTTGTCCTAAAAATCTCGTCTTAACATTTTTACAAAACATCCTATTGGCAACAGCAACCACTTACCATCCAGCAGCAGGTGGACTGTGTGCTCGTTTGTCACCCTATTCTATAAAAAAAAAATATTACAATTATGGTTTAAATTATAAGTAAAAACCGATGTGGAAAACGAGTAGATCGAGCATTGCGTGTAAGGGGTCGTTCTTTAATCACGTGAGGTTCGAACAGATTGGGAGGGGGTTGGAAAAAATCATGATTAATCACAATAGTATTTAAAATTACTAAATAAATTCTTAATTTTAATAATATTTATAGTTTTTCAGAATATAATTTTATGATATTTTTTATTATAACATAATCTAAAAATATCTGGTCTTGTCAGTAATAAAAAAACACGTGATGCTGGGTAACCTAAAACCTCACGTGATTAAAGGATGGCCCCTAAAATATATTGTTTATAATACTTGGCTACATAAATGTAGATTTAGTGACAAGTAAAAATGCGAAAGCGGCTAATGAAATGTTCATATTAAAACGGCTCAAGGAGCTGAACGATTGGCTTTCGATTTTACACCGCCACGTATAGCACTTTAACTTTCAATTTCATACAACGATAATAATAATATCGTATTAACCAAAACAATGCAAAAAGCCACGCGTCCGGGTACCGGGAGAATACGGAGCGTTGAAGAGAAAGTAGCCTGTCATCTGCTTGTTTCAGCAGCAACAGCTGTTTTTATCACCTCGAATTATTCGTGTTATCGGTTTTGAAACTTCCGCTTTACTTTATTGCCTCATACTCAGATCAAACTGGATGCTAAAGGATCAATATGATTTTTAGATGTTTTAATGCACATGTGTTTATTCGCCACCTACATGACAACGGAATTTTTCAATGCCGATGCCGGCTTCGACAACTGAAATATTCGATTGTTCTTTATATGTCATCTGTTGCATTGGGGGTCATGGTGCAATCCAAAATTCAATATGCCGAAAATAAAATGCAAACTGTTTGAAGTTTTAATCTCGTTGAGTTTAAGAATGTTTTAAAGTACCAATTTTAGTTCAACTATTGAGTATTATTTTTGTAGCAGTTTATTAGTTGTTAATTGGTTTTTAGTAAAACACATATCTCATAGGGACATAGTGCAATCCCAATATGTTTTTGGATCTTGTATTTTTGAAGAAGAAGAAAGAAATGTTTACACGTGGTAGAGCCATGCTGCAGCTATATTAATAGTATAGTTATAGCACGAATGGTTCGGCTCGACCGAGGAACGACCACGCTCTCACAGAATAGCAGCTTAACAATGCTGTGTTTCGTATGGTGAGTGTTATATTCATTCCATCTTAGTCCTCTCGGGTGATAACGCATCTGCATTTTGATTCGCAAACGAATATAGATGCAGATGTCTATGGGCCACAGCAACCACTTACCATCAGGTGGACTGTGTGCTGGTTTGTCACATTATCCTATAAAAAAATGTGATCGATGTGGCCTCTGAATAGATAGATAAAATAGGTTTTTTTTTGTTACAAGATTACATAAACAAGTAATAGTGAAACGAATACATTGCATTAAGATAGTTGACATCTTACGCCCAAACAACACAGATGAAGTAGTAAACATTTACAATTTGTCGATTGGCGTTCTTCTTCAGCATCGTTCAGCGTTGTCTCTATTTATTTTCTTTGCCTTTCTAACCTTGTGATTTTGATTACTACATTGTGTTTGTAAACAATGACCCTTCGAACTCATCTTTAAACTTGCGTAATTATTGTTTACTATGAGCTTCCATAGAACGACTTTGATTAACGATCCCTGCGGCCTCATTTCAGAGTTGGCCAATATCTTGTTGTTGTTGCTGCGGATTTCGTGATTGTGTTCCGCTACGTTGCGATCGTCTTCTAAAGTGCCGAGGTATTGTATCAAGGCCGTCAATTGTCTCGATTATCATACGTGACGATCAGCTCGTAAGCGTTCTTGCACTTTCACGATTGTAACATATGCATTTAACTGTTCTTGTTACGTCTTATCAGTCAATTTACAAGGCTCGTATACTTTGAATGAAGTAAGTTTTAGGCCAGCGCTGACATATGGAGATATCTGTAACGGTACAATTAAATACACATCTCTTTATTCAAAACAAATTTGAAGTTTTTTTTTTTCGTATATAATTAAGGTAGAAAGTGAACTACTTGTTTGATATAAAACGTTATTAGTTAACAAATTATAAGTCTCGTTGATATTTGGTTCTGTAACTGATGATTACGAAGGTTTATCATTGACTTGATATTGGCACATATTATGCAGTTATTCAGATTACGAAACAATTAAAAGTTTTATGTGGAGTGATAAGGTAACATCAAGGCATCCAAAAATTGCAAGCTCTTATAAGAAACATTAAGAAATTATTTAAAAATTCCAAACTTTATACTCTTCGCTGGCTACGCGACCTGTTTTAAGACTTGTTTTAGTCACATCGCATCCCACGCTTTTTCTCGTCGTTTTAATAAAGGAACTCAAATTTGGTGGGACGTACGCAGCCCGGCGGTCGTCCATAAAAATATCTCCTGACAATCAACGAGTGACAGATCACTTTCGCCGATGTCCGTAGGTGTTCGTTCAATCAGCAAATCAACCAACTGCTAACTGTCCGCCATTGTTCAGCTATCTACGTTTAATGAACTTTTACTGTGATGTTATTTGAAAGTTGCTTTATTAATGGTCTCCTTACGGGACATTCGACCACGCTTAATTGATATTGGCGTGTATCTATCGTTTTTAATGTATTTAATATATCGCTTGACTATTGAATATGCCCGTTCAGCACTCGATCATTTTCAGTATGCAAACTGTCAATTCAATAAACTTTGTATTTTGTAATCGTCTTATTATGTTATACACGTTTTAATTTAATATATTTTTATGGTTTGGTTTGCTTTCTATTTTTTTTAAATCGTTAGAAAGCGTCTTAGTTATCATTTCAGTAGTTTCTTAACTTTGGTAACTCAGAGCGTTAGCGCTCGCCCTAAAATTTCATAATACGCAAGTAAACCGTGTTTCCTCTTTATCTCCGTAAATAAAAATTTAAAAAAAAACATCGTAACGAAACTTATGACACCAAAAAAATTTAAAATAATCTCACATAGTCTCATAGTCCGATGAAACGCATTAGGGCAGCAGCGCTGCAGTCTCAAAATCATCTTAGAAATTAACGCAGAACTGCATATTTCCCAGGACTTCATTTTACTTTTTATCATTTTAGCCAGTCCAAAGTCTTATGGTGAAGTATTGCGCGTAATTCTAGTCACTTCAATGGTGAGCTGACAAAGAATACAGACACCTATCCTTTTTGTTCTACTAAGTCGGTTATGTAAATAAATCCAGAAATTATCAATTATTAGATTAAATTAAACATTGTATTTGCTTTGATCGCCCGTCCGTACTTTCCAGTCGTCTATAAAATACTCATTCGAAAGTTTGAAGGCAATATCACAGAAAAGTAAACGCATTGTAATATCGGTTCACGGGTCCGGTACAATCCGATTTTGCACATACCTCCATGAAGGTA